GCTGTGAAAGACTCAGCAGGTCAGAAGACTAGGAAGAAAGAGCCACAAAAGAGCTGGGGGAAGGAGAGGCAGGCCAGATGCACAGGGGGCCTAGACAGAGTCCAGTTCCAGGCCAGAGCTTAAGAAGCCATCGGGGTTTATGGAGGAAGAGCCCCAACCCAATCCTCCCTTCTAAGAGAGCTGGGCAGACGCTGGACTGAGTGGGGCTGGGGCCAAGGTTCTGGGGATGAAAGTGAATGGGAGATTTGAGATGCGATTTGGGTAGAAAGGACAAGATTTCCTGGAAAACAGTGTATGAGGTGGGTGAGTGGGATGAACGAAGGGGACTGAGGGGTTTGGAAGTGCGTCCAAGTGGGGAGTGCCGGGGACCACAGGACTTGCCTGCGTTTCTTGGGCACCTTTTAGGTAGAGGTGATGGAAACGCCTGCGCTTGCGCTAAGCAAGACGGGAAACCATGTGGGCTCCTATGATGGAAAAATCTTGGGTTCCAGTGCTCCAGCGGTGACCCTGAGCCTGGCTCTCTCTCCACCTCCTCACTCTGTTTTTCTATGTTGACATCATTCTCAGGTAGGCCACCCCATACAACATTAAATGGCACCCACAGCCCCCCACAGGAATCCTAATAGGACATCAAACCCAGCAGAAAGAGGCTTTGTTTTCTAATACTTTCATAACAAAAGTCCTGGGGGGGGGTGCTTCTCATTGGCCAAGCATGGGTCACATGCCCAAACCCGAACCAGTCACTGACCCTGGGGAGCTGGAGGGCTCTGGTGGTTAGGGCTGGCCCATGTGTCCATTCTTGAGCCATGGTGGAGCGGGGGTGGTTCTCCCAAGGGAGATGAAGACCATGGGGAGTACTGGGGAGGCACACGGGAGCCAGCCCCAGCGCCCTGCAGAGCTGATGTGCACGGGAGTCTCCGAGGTGAGAGCCTGGCGCAGAGGGTCTGGCATGGCGCCTGCACCATCCGCATTGGTGGCCCCAGCCTCCTCCCTTCCTGGTCCTGAGCTGCTGGGCCTTGCGCCACACTCCTGCATGGGAAGGCAGAGCCCAGTCCTGCGCCTTCCATCAGGGCAAGTTGCCACCACACTGAGCCTCTGCCCTGGGTCCTGGAAAGGTGGGGCCGCCCTATGGCTGCCCCCGAGGGACTACAGATACTACTGTTTCTCTCTGGTTCCTGGTCTTGCTGTCTACTCTGTGGGATTCGGTCTTTGGCTCGAACAACTTTACGTCTTCTCCTCATGGTGGCAAGAGAGCTGCTGCCATTCCAGCCTCACCTCTCAGCTTGAAGGGCAGCAGGAAAGAATGACAGCCTTCCCGGCAGCTCCCGCGCTGACTGGACCGCTTCGGGCCACAGGCTCAGTCTGGACCCTCTGTGCCCATGAGTGCAGGAGCCTGCTTGGGCAGGCCTGAATCGCATGCTCCAATTCCAAAGCCCCATTGGGGGAGAGCTAAGGCAAATTCCCAAACCAAAACCAGGCCTGCTGCTGCAAAAAGAAGGCCTGGGTGCTGAGGACTCAGGAAACACGTCCCTACCACAAGGATCATCTGCAAATTACAAGTGAGGAAAGGGCCGGGCATGGTGGCTCACACCAGCACTTTAGGAGGCCGAGGTGGGAGGACTGCTTGAGCCCAGGAGTTCAAGACCAGCCTGGGTAACATAGTGAGATCCTCTTTCTACAAAAACAAAAATAAAATTAGCCAGACGTAGTAGTGCGAGCCTGTGGTCCCAGCTACTCGGGAGGCTGAGGTGGGAGGATCACCTGAACCTGGGAAGTTGAGGCTGCAGTGAACAGTGATCATGCTACTGCACTCCAGCCTGGGCAACAGAGTGAGACCCTGTCTCCAAAAAATAAAAATAAAAATAAATGGGGAGAGAGAGGCTGGGCCTCCTAGTGCCAAGGGCTGACATGTCCAGAGTTGGCCCTCAGGTACAGACCACTCCCCACCGCAGGAACTAAGCCTTTCTCAAGTCTGTGAACTTTTACGAATCACACAGGCTATGAGTCCATTTAAAAATCATTTTATTATTAACATCATCTTCCCATGTAACCAAGTGTCTGTCATGTATAAGGAATGTCGGTAAATATTCCATTTGAAGCTTCTTTGTACATATTTCCATCGATAAATAAACTCTGAATTCACATAAAAAAGTTAAACTTAAATAACTCATATTTCCTTCTCTTGTAACAGGCATATATTGGTAAAATATAAATATTCTTGGACTCAGGCTTTGTTCTAAGTGAGGACAGTAATTGATCACATGGTACAATTATTGACAGTAAAACCAAGAACTTGTCAGCTGGTGTCCCGACGGGGACTGGTGCTGAGATGGGAAACGGATGGTTCACATTTGGTTTCTGGGCCAAGGTGGGGCAGGAGGGATGTGGGGAGAAGACAGTTGCTTTCTTTACAGCTCTGATAAAAATAATCTGTTCTGCCACTGAATTTTAACTTTGAATATATTCTTCTACACTTGCTGATTAATTGCATAATCATTTTACTTAAAACTCAGATGTCAACTAACAAAATATGGCACATAATCCATTTTGAACAATGACAGTAGGTTCAGAAACTATCATTGGGCTGGCAAAAAAACAAGAGAAACGCACGTGGTGAGAGCGATGACTCGGGGTTGGTTTGATTGGTTCACCGTGGCCCATCCGAACACTCGTCCGTGGCCTCAGTGCGGCAGATTCATCCCCGTGGGGTGATGGGACGAGCCCTGGCACCTGGCAGGGCCTCCAAGGCCTAAGCAGCAGGTGAGGCTGGCAGGCGCCTGCTCAGAGCACGCGGGGGATGATGGTGAAGGGCACGGCGGGGCTGCTGGCCTCCAGCTCCAAGGCTGTCAGGAAGCACTCGGTGGCCGCCGCGTCATTGCCCTGAGCTTGGAGAACCTCGCCCAGCCCATTCCAGACCTCATGGGCTGTCGAGTTCACCTGCACCGCGTCCCGGAGGATCTTCTCCGCCAGACTGTAGCGGCCCAGCTGGTGAAGGATCAGGGCCTGGAGGGGTCAGAGAGAGAGACAGTCAGCCATGGAGGTTCCAGGAGCTCTGCGCTCCTACTTGTCCTTGAGTTTCCAGTAAGTTCCTTGGAGCTGGGAATGTATCACCACTGGGCTGGGCCCATAGTGAGTTCTCAAGTACTTCCTGCGTTCACGGGCAACAGTCAAAATGGTCCCCAAGCTGAGCTGACTGATGTGAAATTGCTGATATTCAGCCATGTTTTGAATATAAAAATGGCAACTTCATACGGTTCATCTGAAAACTTAAGGGCCATCAATGAACTAATCGGAAGTCTGCAGTCTGCATTTTTTTTTTTTTTGAATTTTTTTTTTTTTAAAGACAGGGTTTCTCCATGTTGGTCAGGCTGGTCTCAAACTCCCGACCTCAGGTGATCTGCCTGCCTTGGCTTCCCAAAGTGCTGGTATTTCAGGTGTTAGCCACCATACCTGGCCAGTAGTCTGCATTTTTTTTGAGACGGAGTCTCGTTCTGTCACCCAGGTTGGAGTGCAGTGATGTGATCTCGGCTCACTGCAACCTCCGCCTCCTGGGCTCAAGCAATTAATTCTCCTGCCTCAGCCTCCGTGGTAGCTGGGATTATAGGTGTGCATCACCATGCCCAGCTAATTTTTGTATTGTTAGTAGAGATTAGGGTTTTACCATGTTGACCAGGCTGACCTTGAGCTCCTGACCTCAAGTGATCCGCCCACCTGGCCTCCCAAAGTGCTGGGATTATAGGTGTGAACGCCCAGTCTTTTTTTTTAACCTAAAGAAATGTCATTGATGGTATTACTATCAGAATGATTATGACAGATGTTTTAATTGCTCACAGCCCTGTCCCTGACCAAGGCCCTGACCCCACTGTCCCTGCTTGCCCCAGGCTGTGCCCAGCTGTCATCTCAGTTTTCCTTGGTTGGGGTGTACCCATTGGTCCCAGTTATTTTATCATCATCATGTTTCCAAGCTGCGCACCTCCATAAGCGACGAGTGTACTCTCTCATCCAACGGACACGGACACCTTCTCAACCTCTCCCTCCGGGGAGAGACATTTAGGTCACATCAAATCTCTCTGCTGTTCTGAATCACACAGACATGAACATCTTTCCAGAAAGCGCCTCTTTGTTCTTTACATCAGTGGATTTCTAATCTTTTTTGTATCCCTGAAAACCTTTGGTTAAATGAAATCTTACTGAGAACACCCACACAGTCTATGTATAAACAGACAAAAAGGAACTTCTTCGGGGAGGGGGAAGGGGAGTCCAGCGTCCCCCACGGGTTCCTTTTAGTGGCCCTGGGAGCGGCTCAGTGGAACAGGCTGGACAACCATTTGGAGATTCTCCCCTTGGGCAAATCCCCTCAGAGTAGGATCACTGTGTAAGGACTCTCTTTAGCATTCCCCAAACATTTTGCAAATTCCATCCTCCAAGGCTGCACCACTTCTTCAGCCATTAGCAGTTTCTGTGGTTGGTCACCTGCCCCCTTCTATCGTGACTCTATTTCTTCTCATGTCATACATGCAGAATGTCCCTCCTGTTGAAATCTACATTTCTTCAATAACTATTGAGGTTAAATATTTCCCATGCTTTTGTTTAGGAGCCTTTCATAAGACTGCTAGTCATCTGCTACCATAACTTTCCAGCCCATTCTTTGACTTCCGGGATTCTTTCCTTTGAAAAGTTTTAAGTTGAAAAATCAAATTTGTTGATCTTTGATGATTTTTTTTTTTGCCACTTCAAAACCTAGAAAGTTATCCTTTCAAAGAGCTGACACATGTTCAATTCTATTTATTGTAATTTTCCCTCTTTTAAGTAGTTGACTACTTTATCTCGGCAGGGAGTGATGGATTCCTCCTACTTTGCTAAACGCAAACTAGCGCGTCCTCCCTCGCCTCAATCTTGTACGGCACTGCCTCCATCACAGAGTGAATTATTACCTGAAGCAAGGGCCTTGCACTATTTTCCAACGAGCCGCAATATCTAATTTCTGCATCAGCCCCACACTGTTTTCATTTCTGTGACTCCCAAATCATGTTTTAGTGGGTAGAGTCAGAGCTTTCCCTCATTGCTCTTGCTTTTAGTATGTTTCCTGACAATCTTATCCTGTACTATTTTTGATGAATTTCAAAACCAATTTCTTCATTTCCTTTAGAAGTCAAATTGCATTTGCATTACCTCTCTTAGAGAGTGTGGAGAGGCCTGACATCTTTACAATGTTTAGTCTTCCTGCTGAGGAATGTGTTATGGTCCTCTGCTCTTTCAAATCTCATCCTGAATCTCCCAGTAAAGCCTTGCCCTCCCTTTAGGCAGTGTCACTCATGAGGTAGCCCCGCCTGCTCGCAGGGCCCTGCTTCACCAATGGGCGAGGGGGCAGCAGGGTGGCTGTCAGCAGAACCAGCCAGTGTGACGGCAGACAGACTGACTTCCCTGAGCCACTTGTACCCATAAGACCCCCACAGGGGAGCTGGGATGTCCACCCAGGAGAGCACGTGGTTGGGGTGACAGCCAAGGAGACCCATGGCCCAGGGTAGTGTGTGAGCCCTGTGGAGGCTCCTTCAGTGGGAGGTTGAGGAAGGAGGCCCCCAGCTCTGGGAGGGGGAGGCAGTTTAGGGAGCTCTCCTGGGCAAGGAGGAGGTGGAGGCCATCCTGCCTCAGGTACAGAGGGCTGCCCGACCCTGGCTAGGGACAGCAGGCTTCAGGGTCAGCTCTACGTTCTCAAGAAGACAACAGAAACACCTTATGTTTCTTGTCTTATGAATATCCAAACATGTGTCCGGGCTGAGTTCCTGCATATGACCAGGTCCTTGACCGCATCTGCCAGAGATGGTTCTGGGGTGGCCAAGCAGCCGAGCGTAGCTGGCCACTGCAAACCATGCCTCCTGACTCCTCGTGCCTGCCTGAAGTGCTTCCGGGTGTGGAGTCCAGCTGAGGGTGGCAAGTAATCACGCCCATCTTCCAGGACAGTACTCTGGACCGCCCTGGACCTCCTTAAGAGGGAATCTGACAACTCCACATCCTTGCTTCCCAACCAGCAGAACAAACGCAAGGCCACTCAGCCAGGCTGCACTCAGTAGGACATAAGGTCGAATGAGCTCCTGCCCGCTTTCTCTGAGGGAGGTTACCAGCCTGCGCTCACCCTGCAACACTCCAGCATAACCACGCGGGGAGGGAGGTTTCTGGGCGGCGGCTGTGAGGTCGAATGAGCTCCTGCTCGCTTTCTCTGAGGGAGGTTACCAGCCTGCGCTCACCCTGGAACACTCCAGCGTAACCACACGGGGAGGGAGGTTTCTGGGCGGCGGCTATGAGCAGCAGCCTGGAGAGATCACAGCCAGAGCTCATCACACACCTTCCTGGCATGGCTTTCTTGGTGTGTCAAGATGCGGAATACACATGACAGATGTCTGAGTGGCTCTCCTGGCAGGGAGGCACGTGCTGCATGCCTCTGGCAAATGGGTGACGAGCGGTGAGCCAATGTGCTTTCTTGGTTGCAGGTGAAGAATCTAACTCAGGTCCCACCAGGCTCTGCCACTGCAGCATCAGCCCTGTGCTGTTTCTTCCTCCAACTGGAGGGTTGTTCTCCGCCGGGCACCATGCTGGGCACTGTATCTAGCCCATCTCCTATTACTACTGCTTTAGATAGATAGGGTAGACACAGTTCAGGAAGGCCACGTTCTCGCCCCAGGTACCAGGGCCAATCAACATCGAGCTGCCACCCAGCCCAGGTCCACTTGCTCCTAAAGCTACCCATACTTCCTGCCGGGCTTCTGTCACTTTAAGAGGCAAGCCCTGGGCCAGCAGAAGAGTGCTCAGCGGAGCTCTCTCAATGCGGGCCCCAGGGCACTCAGGTAATAACCCAGTTACATCTAAGCAACAGGAAGGGGGCATCTGCCATGCTGTGTCTTCCCTTTCATTTCTCTGACCACTAATTGCTGATGCTCCTTCCCATGTTATGATTGGGAAATTGCTCCTCTCCAAGGCACAGCTTCCCTCTGGCTCAGACCTGCAGCTTAGAAGCATCCTGTATCTCTGCTCATAGACAGGGAGGGCTCCTTGCCTCAGGCCAGCTGTGATCTTGAGGCTTGGGGAGGCTGCCAGAGCCAAAGGACTGGGCCATTCTGTCCACCAGAAAGTGGTCAGATGAGGTGCGGAGGCCAGGAGGGCCAGGGCCTCGGCCCAGTGGGACGCAGAGGGCTCTGCTCTCAGCACCCTCCTGGAGTGGGAAGAACCCACCCATCCCTTCCTGCTGGGATTTTTGTTTAGAAAGTGGCAGGCCACTGAATCTGGCCAACTGTGGGGGCTGCGGGGTATAGGCCAGGGGCATGTCTACCTGCCCTCAAAAGTCCTGCAGAGAACCAGCCCCAAGGGGCTAATCGGAGCCAGCACCCTCAGTGTTGGCCACTAAGAGCCTCTGCAGGACTCTGGTGTTCTAGGGTTCTTGCGGGCTTGGAAATTTCCAGCCCATATACCTGGACGTGTAGTCCTAATGTAGGAACTGCCATTTCCAGATGACCTTGAAGCTTCCTGAGCAATCTGTTCAGTGGAATTAATTCCTAAAGCTGGAGCTGCTTAGGGAGACATCGCAGACTTGCCAGCGGCTGCCAGCTCAGGCTTGGCACAGGAATGAAAAATAGGCCTCTCCCCAGTGAGCCAGGAGCAGCTCAGAAATCAGCCCATGGCGGATCAACCAGAACAAGCTCCGGCTGCAGTCAGAGCCACTGCTTGGAGCCAGCACAGCTAGAGGACTGGCCAGAGGTGGGCTGGGACCTGGCTGTGTCCGGCCATCGGGAGTGACGCACCACCCAAGCCCCTCCGTGCTGGCCAGGGACCTTCCTTCCTTTCCCTTCCCAGGGCCCATGTGCTCTTCTGCACTGCAGCCCTGACGTCCTTTCCAATTCTAGAGGCCTGGCTTTCTCTCTCCTCCAGAGATCAAAGGCCTAACTCCTGAGGCTGGCATGGAGCTGTTCTCAGCACCAGATGGGTCCAACCTTCCCTGGGTTCAGCCAGGCTCGTCTGTCAGCCAACGTGTTTCTGCAGGATGCTGCCCCAGCCCCCTCCTGCCTCCCAGCTGTGGTCGGTCAGCCTGGGCCCTTCTGCTGGAGCCCTTGTCCATCTGCCTGAGGCCCTAATGCACCTCATCCCTGCGGAGCCAGGCGGCCACACTGCCCCCTATCGGCAGCGCTGCCCAGCAGCACGCAGCTCCCGCTCCCAGCCAACAGCCTGCAGGAGGCAGATTCCGATAACGATATGTTACTATATAACCTGCAACTCTCTGCCCCCACCTCAAACCCAACAAAACCCACCAAGTGATTGCTTGATGCTGGACGGAGTGGGCGAGTGCAGGGCTGCTCTCAAAGAGCTCGAGGTCCAACGCAAATCACCAACAGCACTGGGCACTAAGGTCCCATTCCATCCTTTCTCAACTCCAGGAGCCAGCGGCTGCTGGGGCTTCAGTTTCACAGACCAGATGACCCACCTACAACCCTTGTACAGGTAGTGAGCGGCAGCGCTGAGGCAGGCAGCTGTGCTGCATGTGCCCTTGACACGGGGCTCTCTCCCCTCCCCTGTGTGTGGAGAGGACACACACACACAGACTTCCACCTTCCCCAGCCCTGGTGTTCCTGCAGCCGCTACGGGTTGGGAGCCGGCTGGGGCTGAGCTTCAGAGAGCTGGGAAATCACTGGGGAAGTAACTTATTAGTCCCTTTCTTCAAACACAGATGAAGGCTGCTTCCCAAGCTGGTAATTATCATAATCAGGTGTTTTGTACAAATAGGATCTTGATGATGCACCAAATTGGCAATAAGAGATTAAATTAAACCTGTTATTTCAAATGAGATGAAATGGACTTGGCCAGTTTCAGAGCAATTAGCATCTTCCTCACTTTTGCCTTTTGTTGCGATAATTGCTGCCCAAGGGCCAAACACCTTGCCAGACACCGAGGGCACCCGCACCGGAGCCCCTGGAAGGTCTGTGTGCACATGGTTTCCTGCTGCAGCCTTGGTACAGGAGGCGCTCAGCGGGGCGGGCTTGCACTGTCCTCCCAGGCAGAAGCCTGAAGGACCAAAGCTCCTTTGGAGGCTGGGCACAGTGACTCATGCCTGTAATCCCAGCACTTTTGGAGGCTGAGGCAGGTGGATCACTTGAGCCCAGGAGTTCAAGACCAGCCTGGGCAACATGGCAAAACTTTCTCTACTTAAAAAAATTTTTTTTAAATTAGGCCAGGAGAGGTGGCTCACACCTATAATCCCAGCACTTTGGGAGGCTGAGGCGGGCAGATCACTAGGTTAGAAGATAGAGACCATCCTGGCCAAATGGTGAAACCCCATCTCTAATAAAATACAAAAAATTAGCTGGACATGGCAGTGGGTGCCTGTAATCCCAGCTACTCAGGAGGCTAAGGCAGGGTAATCCCTTGAACCCAGGAGGTGGGTGGCAGAGCAAGACTCCATCTCAAAAAAAAAGAAAAAGAAAAAAAAAGAAATACAAAAATTAGCTGGGTGTGCTGGTGTGCACTGTGGTCCCAGCTACTTGGGAGGCTGAGGTGGGAGGATTGCTTGAGGCTGGGAGGCGGAGGTTGCAGTGAGAAATGATCATGCCACTGCACTCCAGCCTGGGTGACAGAGATAAAAAAAAAAAAAACAAAAAAAACTCATTGGGGTGATTTTGGACATCCCCATGGTGCTCTGCACAAGAGCAAAGCCCTTTGCTGGGTTCAAGAGCAAGTCACAGACCACTGTTTATCCCTCTAAGGTTACAGGTACAGGGAGATAGCCTCCCTGAAAGAAAGCATCCTTCCCTAGGAGAAGCCATTGCTGAAAAGCAGCCCCGTGGCTCAGCTCCGGGTGGGGGTCAGTGGGTCTCCTGGTTGTTGCTTTTCGTCAGGCACAATGTTTTGGAAATCAAGCATCCGCAGCAGGGATGGAGGTGAAGCACTCTGAGTGCTTTCTGCGCCAGGGCCTGGCTTATCTGTAGGCTCCCTGCTGGTACTGCTCTCAGCTTCCCTGAGCAGCAGTGCAGTGTCGGTGCAGACAGCAGCGAGCTGCCCCTCACCACATCACAGTGGGCCTGGATTCTGCAGCCTGCTG